AAGTGTTTAGCTTGGGTTGGCGGCTTGACCATACCACTTTATTATGTGTTTTGTGTGTATAATAATACTTTTACCAAGATTTTTAATGTGTGAAACTTTTCCTGGTTTGTGCCCCTTTACAATTCTCTATATGTTTGTAGGATACCTACCTATTTCTGTATATTTTTTTTAGGTTGGAATGTTTCTTCACTTTTCCTTAATTTTTTTTTTTGTTATTTTATGTAGGTACTGGTTGTTTAAGATTAAGTTTAAGAGTATGTTATGTTTGATCTTGTGTTAATTTTTTTCAGTTTTTGAGTGTAATTGTTAAAGTATTTATTAAGTATAAAAATTGTAACTTGAAAATACAATACATATTTATATGGTTTTATTTTTCACTATACAGGGTGTCCCACGGTGGATGGCGTATTAGACGTTATTGGAGAACTAAAAAGCGAATCATTTTGAAAATTTGGCAACCGGGATAAACAACCATGATCTACACTTTAAAAATATTTTTGACCATGCGGTGTTGCCGCTTCTAGACTAAACTAGTGGCAACATCACTATTTTAAATGGAACACCCCGTATTAAATTGCATATTTGGATTCTACGTAAAATTCTGAGCAGATTTCATGTGATATACCGTATACCCAAGTTCAACTGTTTTGGAAATATTGACAGTTGAAAATTGACTTTTTGCAACTTTGACAGGCTGTAAAACCTAATTGGTTAATTTTAGAGGAAAACCGATTTCACATTCCCGTCTTAGATTTTGATAAACTATCATTTGACACCAACTTTGAACTTAACCGGAGATTAAATTTAACTGAAATTTTTAATCATGGATTTAATTCAAAGATGGTGTCAAATGATAGTTTATAAAAATCTAAGACAGGAATGTAAAATCGGTTTTCCTCTAAAATTAACCGTTCAGGTTCTACAGCCTGTCAAATTTGCAAAAAGTCAATTTTCAACTGTCAATATTTCCAAAACAGTTGAACTTGGGTATAGGGTATATCACATGAAATCTGCTCAGAATTTTACGTAGAATCCAAATATGCAATTTAATACGGGGTGTTCCATTTAAAATAGTGATGTTGCCACTAGTTTAGACTAGAAGCGGCAACACCGCATGGTCAAAAATATTTTTAAAGTGTAGATCATGGTCGTTTATCCCGGTTGCCAAATTTTCAAAAAGATCCGCTTTTTAGTTCTCCATAAACGTCTAATACGCCATCCACCGTGGGACACCCTGTATATAAATACATATATGTACCTTTATGCATAAGGTTTTCTCCTATATTTTTGCCACCCTGAACAGGTTAATTGAATAGGTATCAAAAAGGTGTAAATACAACATTTGTATTTACATCTTTTTGATAGGTATTTATTCAATCAACCAATTCTGCAAAAATATATGGGAAAACCCTGTACGTCCCAAACACATTCCTAAAAAGCTATACTAAATACGTACGTTAATGTATGTCCCCAACACGTACCTAAAAAGCCGTACTGAGTACGTTCCTGAATGTACGTACCATCGTCACCAAACGTATCTGGGACAAAAATAATCTATATTAATCTCCAGGACTAATTCTACTGTCATTCATTTCAATGCATTTAATTCATAGTTTGACAAATATTTGACAATAAAATTCATATAATAGTACAAGAGCTAATATGATGCTGTCCCAGTTACTTTTGGTAACGATGGTACGTGGGACGTACCTACTATTTTGTGGAAAACGACCGTCTTAAAGACGTCCTTCGGACGTCGGCGGGACCTAAAAAGTACGTCCGCGGACGTACTTTCCCAACAAACACATTTCTTACGGCCCAGCATCGTACGAATGCCGCTTTGCCGGATAACAGGCATCTGCCCAACTAAATGAAAAAGGTACTGGTCCGGATCGTATATGACCGCCCGGCCGACAGTCGAGCCGCAAGTCGGCCGACAGTATGAACCAGCGTTGGGCCGATTCAACGTCTGAATCATTACATTGGGACAATGCTGGGTATACTTCCTCAAATTTTATGGTCCTTTACAGTATATTTGATAGATTGTCATCACAGGGCCATAACTTTATACATAGTTGTAATATTATATACCGGAATGCTAGTAAATAATTCCAAAAATCGAATTTTACTTTTTCTGCAACTTGGTATGACACAACAATTTTTTTCTGCTGTTCGTTTTTCTTGGTAGTAGGAATCGAAGCCTTCCTGGAGGACTAAAATTTCAAACAAATTAAGGTTTTATCGAAAAAATCATAGATATATTATATAAGTTACATTCCTCATAAATCTTTGAAAATAAAAATGCATTTTTATAAAAATATCTAAAATAGTTAATATTGAGGTAATACAATACAATATTATAGGAAAAAAGTCAACATTTCATTAGTGTATAGAAATAAATAAATAAATTCTTTTGAAGAAATACCAAATGAACTTAAATTCTAACACATAAACTTGGAAAATAGAAAATAAATCCATCATTTCCATCTGAAAAGAAGAATAATTTTTTTTTTTAATGTACATGCTATTTTAATTAGAAGTACCATCGTCACCAAAAGTATCTGGGACAAAAATAATTCATATTAATTTCCTGGACTAAGTCTACTGTCATTCATTTCAATGCATTTAATTCATAATTTGACAAATATTTGACACCTAAAATCAAATAATAGTACAAGAGCTAACATGATGCTGTCCCAGTTACTTTTGGTGACGATGGTACCTATACTCACCAAGTTATCTTCGTTGCCGGAAAGTTTTGTCTTATATCTATTTAACAATTGACTTTTCGCGCGGCAACACAACACAATAAGTTATTTCCACAATTATTTAGAAATTACCAAAAGCACAAGACCAAGAACAAAATCTAAATACAAAAACGAAGCCACAAACATACGTCGCCAACGAGGTAATGGCCGTCAATGCCGTTCAGGTTCAACAATGCACAGAACATACATGAAGAACGGGTGCGCGGTGCGCCTGCTCGAAATTTTCAAGGAGGCTGGGAAACATATATTGGCAAACTGCCGGTCCAGTGATATAGTACCAGTGGTAAATTTTGAAATCATTAATAGAAAAGCCCCGACGCTATGCCAGCGTTCAAATGCCAACAGTCGGAATTCAATGATCGTAAACACAAGCGGCCCACTGCATTTTGTCGATGCCGTCACTTACCCATCGTTCAAGGCATTCGGCCGATTGTTTACCGACAGTTCGTGTTTGCTGGGTTCGTCCGAAAAAGTACGAATTATGGACGTACTAAAGACGTACTTGTGTTTGTTGGGAAGGGGAGGGTGCCACAACAAGAGGCCACAACTCTTCCATATTGCTGCGAATTAAGTGGACATCGCCATATTAATCGATGATCGCCGACATTGACAAGGGATAGGCACGTCCAGAAGAAGAAGAAATAAAAAAATAAAAATAGAATAAATGCCGTTGGACCAAACCCGAAAAAAAAGTTGCTGCAAAATAGTACATTAAAATACAAGTTTCATAACTCGGTATATAGGGCTCGTGCGATAAAATGTCTTATGAAACGAATATTTTATACTATTTTTTCTATTTTGGTATTGTTTAATTAAAAAAAAAACAATTTTTTCTTGGAAATTTTATTCTCATATTTCCTGATTTCATATGTTTAAGTTTGTAACACTACATGCCAAATATAGAAATCTTCCATTTATAAAATCGCGAATGACAGTTCGATGGCCATCAGTCAGCCAGTGTTACCAACCTCCGATAAGTAAAAAAGGAGTGTCACAAAGAGCTTCTTTTCGAAACTACTTTTAGTGTCGAAAATACTTCGATATGACACCAAAATAGAAAAACATATTTTTGCTATTGAGCTTACTGGTTATGGTTAAGTTTAATTAATAAATTGAATAATTTTACTATTTGAATTTACTCAGATATTTTACACAATCTGGCAACTCGGCTCTCTGTTTCATAACCCTGAAATTTGAAAAATATTTTGTCAACAAATGTCATTATTATACGAGTGTCAACCTGTCAAATTTCCATGGATAATGCTACGGCAATAATAAGTGAAAAGCATATATTTCAATTAATTTGTGTCAATGCTAAATTGACGTGTCTCGTAATACCTGGTGTGCGCGCGCAACCCGTGGGTTGCAGGTGATCGTCCAATGAAAATCGAGTTTGTTATGGGCTTGCGTCATATTCGTATTCAGGGACAAGTTCAGAATTAATCGGTCCTCCTTTTTTTGTAACGTGTAATTCGACAAAGAGCAAACTAATACTTTACGTATTACTTGAACTTATCGCAGTGTCGTTTAAGGTTATGTTAGACTATACTTGACATATTTCTTTGCAATTTCATTGTGCGATGTTGCCGAATGAAACATTTATCAAAATAAAAGTGCCATCGATGTTAACATACACTTTAAAGCTCTTTTTTTGTCTGATTTAAGGCGTTGTAAAACACTTGACAATATATCACTTCTTTAATGCTATAATGTTTAATTTGTATTGTCTACATTTGTTCTGCAACAATACAATCTGGCTACACTGCAGCCACCAATTGCGCGCGCATATCATTTTTTATTACTTTCTAACTTGTATTTATTACAATTAAGCTCTCTTTTTCTATTCCTGCGAGACACGTCAATTAAGAAAATTAGAACTTTTCTTCTGATATTGAATATTGGAGATTTAATTTACATTAGATTATTTGATTCAATTGACATTATTTGATTACATTCAAATTTACTGTTTTTGTATTTCAAGTCCTTGTAAATTACGGGTCTATTTTTCCTGGGTGATTACAGTAGGTAGAAGTACTTACATACAAAAGGCATTTCATCCATGGATTCCATGGGTTAATGCTTGTTTCTTTTTGATATACAATTATTTCAGTCAATATGTGTAATATCTATGATAACACAGGCTTTACAAATTGGTTAAGTGATTTAATTTGGTTCTGGGTTTTAAGAACAATTCCTACAAATAAAATAAAACTATTGGATTCAAGTGTAAGCATTTTATTATTTTTATACTTTACCTATTCAATTATAATTTTTATTCGACATAAATATTTATAGAATTAAATTTAATTAAATACATTTCTCGTTTTATTCACACAGTCAAAAATAAAAACAGTTTTACTGCAAACAAATTTAATAAATTAAAACATAAAAATACTGGACTTATTTAAAATGCTTGGCAAGAAATATAAACTAATCATAAATAAAACTAATAACCAATCAGAATATTCCTTTTTTTTTGCAATTTATTAATGTTCATCACAGATATTGTTTAATTTTATTGCAAAAATATATTGACCGGCCAAGAAATCTGAAACAAAAAAATATGCCCACAAAGCAAAAATGTCTACATAAAAGCTATAATATGGATGTAATATCATTTTATTTTTATTTAAATATTGCATAAGAATACATTGCATTTTTGTTACCTAGATTTTACAATTAAATAGAAACCAATTAAACTTAAACTAAATAAATAGGTAGGTATTATAAACTAGCAGTTACTTAGCCAAACATTATATTTTATAATAAATAAATAAAAAATTTCGTTCGTTAGGTAGGTATACAATACAGGTATACAAGAAATCCACAAATAAATAAAAAATACTTAATTTAAAACTGCGAGTATACTTGGTACTACTACTAATACAACACAAAAAAAACTAAAAAAAGCAGGGATATAGGGTTCCCTAGGAATGATTAAATTAATAGTTTAAAAAATATAACAACAGAAATAAATTATTAGGCTTATAAACAATACAAAATTTAACCAAGTAGGTATTATTTACATAATAATTTTAGCTAAGTAGCTGATTTTCAAATAGTTATTTTGAAAAAAAAATGTGGTTTAAGATCAGTCTTGTTTGGTTTTGAAGGCACTACATGATAAAGCCGTTTGAAGACACAATATTTTCAAATTAAAGCGTTTTAGAAAATTCAATATTCAGTCTAAAAAAATATACATCAAGTACACACTATATTTTAAAAATTTTGGCTTTTTTTGTACATCAACACAATTTTTACTGATGCAAAGTGTCAACTGAAATCGCATAATTCCTATGTGTCAACATTCGATTGCCAGGCGACATTTTGTTAACAATTTCCTCCTGCAGAAAGGCTAACACTTTTTTGACTTCCAGGTTTTGATTAGGTGTCAGTTTTTGGGCTTCTTGGACGTTACGTAGGGCGCAGTCATATTCGTTGAGGTCTAATCTTGCCTTTGCTAATGCATAATAGGCTTCGTAGGATTCGGGTTTCATTGCTAAAGCTTCGTTGGCTAGTTCTATGGCTTCTTCTGGTTCCTATAAAGATATTTTCTCAGTGAAAATTTTATAGAGTTTTAAAAAAACCATACGTACATTTAGTTTTCTTTTGCATCTAGAGAAGTTCAAAAGGAAGTTGATTTGCAGCTGGTGGAATGCTTGATTATGTTCTCCTTGATCATCATTGGGAAACTTTTTTAGAGCGTATTGATACCTGTGGGCTGCTTCTCTTAATCTACTTTTTCTATACAAAACGTTACCATCCTCTAGGAGTTTATTAAGTAGAATAAGCCTAGAAATAATATTTGTTTGATTAAAATTAATAAACAATTGGTTAAAAGTTAACTATTTACATTATATCTGGTTTGCCTGTGGCCATAGCCCAAGTAGCTGGCCCCAATTTAGCTCCTTTCTTCAAAAAGCACTGAACAACTTGAATATTTTTACATCCTATTGCTCTGTCCAATGGCCGCATGCCATTTATGTCAACGTGCTCAATAATAGCACCTCTATCAAGCAAAAACTGCACCAAAGTGGGATTTCCATTGTAGGCTGCCAAATCTGGAATTTAAAGGGGTTAAAATTATTGTAAATGTATACCTAAAGTTCACTATTTAATAAACTAATATGGTGATGTCTATGTTTGTTTATATTCACTCTAGCATTGTGACAGAAATGTATGGCTTTCTCTTTCTATTTTTCTAGTTTTCAGTTCAATAAATGTCAGTATTGCGACAACACGGTGTTTTATTTCTCTTGAGCTTTCCGAAGAGTTTTGTCGCCCAGATACAATACGCTGTTTAATACAATTTTATTAACAATAGGATATGGGCCTAGACCGCTCAGAATGCGAAATTTCGGGTATTCGGTAGTTCGAGTTCGAGAAGTGAAAAAAAAAAAAAACGATTTTTCGTTGTGTCGAGGCTTTTCGTCGTGTCGAAGTCGCGTGTACGTGCTTCTCACAACAGCCAAAATGGCCGTTAACTATCTAACGAGTGTGCCAAAGTTGTTAGGACGTGAGAGAGAATTACGATGACTGATTTTTTGGGTTTGTGCTTGAGATGGCAGTTTTACCGGTTCAATGCCACTTAAACAATCACCTTCCTGTCTGGGAGATTCAAAAACCAATGCGACAAATCAGTTTTTACCTCTGGAACGAAAGCTTGAGAAAAATCCGAATAACATAAAACAAGAGTATCATAGTTTATTTATACAGGAATATATCGATTTGAATCATATTATGTCCCTTGCTGATTCGCAGGATAATTCTGTTTTTTTTTTCTTGCCACATCATTCTGTTTCAAAAGAAACTTAAAAGACTAAATTGAGAGTTGTATTCAACGGTAGTGCTCCTACCACCATGGGCGCCGCCAGGATTAGTTTCAGGGGGGTGCATACAGGCAATGGCGGCGCGTGGATTGTTATATTGGTCCAAATTACTAATTTGAGAAGTTGAAAGTCCCGAAATTTTTCCGGGTTCACGCCCAAAAATAGTTATTTTGAGCTTTCAATAAAATAATTTTTTCTAGGTGATTGGGAAAGTTATATGATGTTTTCACCTCGGCAATTTAATACTTTTTTCGGGATATCAAATCGTAGGAATGAAGGAAATTTATATCAAGAAACTAGAAATTAAGTAAATCCGAAATTCCCGCCATTCTACAGGTTGATTGCGCGCGAAAAAAAAAAAAAAAACATGTGAAGAGCCGTACACGTGGTAGAAATGTAACTTCTTAAAAACCGAATGAGGGAGATTGAAGGTGCGAGAGAGGAAAGAGAGAGAATTTCAAAAGAAATACCTATAACGGTACAGTGTGCTCTTTTTATCTTGACAGTTTAAACTCTCGTAATTTCTTTATTTTTGAAGTTATTTAAGTAAATAAAAAAAGCACAGGACAAATATGTAATGTATAAATAACGAAAATAATCAAAAAACGCAATGATAATAGTATAACAAAAGGGAGACGCGCATCTATAGTAACATGACATCACAATAGTATCAGCGCTGGTCAATAATAGGCAATAGACACTTTAAGTTAGACAAAATACTTTAACGCTAACGTAAGATTTGACAGCTGCGCATGCGCAGTTTCTTTTCTCCAAAAATAGCGTGTTACGTGTCACGTTATTTAACGGGTCTTTGCGTGTACCTTATCCGTAACGTTCGTTGAACCGAGTGGGCCCGAAAGTCAAATTGCCGGTGTAGACCTTTGCCGAATGTATTTTAACCCTAAAAAAAAGGTATAATGTAATTCAAAATAATCAAAATACAAAAAATTATTTCTAATTTGTCCTTTTCATAACAAAATTTAGAGGTTAAGTTATGATTGTGAGACATAACGTTAACGTTTACGTGAAAATTTAACTTAAACTGATTTGTGAGCACCGACGGTCACTCAAAGTTATAGTAAAAAATAGGGTTTACGTTTAAAGATTACGTTAACGTGTTTGGTCCAACTTAAAGTTTCTATTCATTTTTACGCTTATAATCTTTGGTTTCTGTCAATCAATAGCTGTCTTTCCTGTCTCTCGAGTAACGAAATTTCTTCGTAACGCGTTTTCCAAATTACTCTACATTAGTTGCATTCCTTTCACACCTAAGAGGAGCTCCGGAACAGCTTCGGGCGCTAGGCGCTTATTGCTTTCGAAAAGTGTTTGTTGCACCACGCATCTCTCCCTTTAAAATCGGGGTCGAGTAACACCGGAGCGAGTAGCTCGAGTGTTCCAAATTCTTGAAAGGAATACAACTATTGTCGTCCAAATATCAGCGTCCGCCTAAGAAGTTTCACTTCGATAACTTGATTCAAACAGTAACTTATTTAAAAAAAAATAATAATAATAAAATAAAAAATATTGTTTTCAATGTATTTCTGACAGGGGGGTGCAAGTGCACCCTGCTGCCGGCGCCCATGCCTACCACGTCTGGAGTTTCAGTTAACGACTTAATGCTTACTGGCCCTACTATACAAGATTTTTCAATTAACATTTTGCTACGTTTTCGTATTCATAATGTGGTTTTGGGAGCAGATATTGCAAAAACTTTGGAAAATGAAAGTATCTTGGGACGAGTCGATTCCTACTGACTTATACACTATTTGGTCGAATTATAAATCACAGTTAACAATCTATATACAGGGTGTCCCACGGTGGATGGCGTATTAGACGTTTATGGAGAACTAAAAAGCGGATCATTTTGCAAAATTTGGCAACCGGGATAAACGACCATGATCTACACTTTAAAAATATTTTTGACCATGCGGTGTTGCCGCTTCTACTCTAAACTAGTGGCAACATCACTATTTTTAATGGAACACCCCGTACTAAATTGCATATTTGGATTCTACGTAAAATTCTGAGCAGATTTCATGTGATATACCCTATACCTAAGTTCAACTGTTTTGGAAATATTGACAGTTGAAAATTGACTTTTTGCAACTTTTCATTTATTTAGGCTTGCATTCAACCGACGTAACTTTATTATTTTTTGAATTCAAGAACGGCTGGACCGATCTTGAATTAATACCACGTATCTCTATATAAGGTGAATTCGATTGACCCAGATTAGATCGATTTGGGTTCAATTTAAGTGAACTTCTTCTGATCTAGATCATTTTTTTGTTGATGAGGGTGCACTGATCCAGCTTGAATCGAACACAGTGTGGTTCATTTAAATTGAACCAGATCGATCTAATCCGGTCAATCGAATCGGCTATAGAAGAGAGTGATTAGAGATGTAAAAAAACGGTTTTTTTTCAGATTTGAAAAAAAACATTGAAAAAAAACCAGAAAAAAAACGTTTTTTTTGTTTTTTTTCTAAATGATTCAAATGTAAAAAAGCAGGTTTTTTTCAGATTTGAAAAAAAAAACATGAAAAAAAAAACTAGAAAAAAACAAGTTTTTGTGTTTTTTTTTTTTCAAAATAATTCAATTTTAAACTTTGTGAGTATCTCCAACGTCATCTTTAAGTAAAAAAAAATTGACATTTGACGACCCTGGAGACATAGTAGTTACAGTCTGAAAATTCTTCATCCATCGAAAGTGTCTCATATCAGTGATGTTCTGTTCTAGTATGTATGTTGTATAAATATGATGATTGTATGATCTGATATAATATGATAGTTCATACATGGATGTACCATGTACCTGACCTGAAAACATGTTTCATTTACATAAAAATAGGTCTGTTTCTGCAGAAATCACAAACCAGTCAGAGTGAATTTCATTGGTTGAAATTAGTTTTCTGACTGTTTCTGACTGTTTTCAACCAATGAAATTCGCTCTGACTGGTTTGTGATTTCTGCAGAAACAGACCCAATATTGTTCCTATGTTATTTCTATATAGAATAAGACAATATTTTACGTTTTATCGATATTTCACTGCTTAAACTAATTTTTTGTCCCAAGAAAAGTTTAATTGGCAAAAAAAGTAAAAAATGCGCATATGGTGCTAAGTTTAGAAAAAAAACACAAAATCTGAAAAAAAACCATTTGAAAAAAAACCATGAAAAAAAACTTGAAAAAAAACAAAAAAAAACGGATTGTTTTTTTTCACGTTGCATCTCTAAGAGTGATATAGGCTATTTTTTATCCCGAAAAAAAAAAGTTCGGTTGCGTAAAACTCTGATACACTGGAACGCCTATAAACAGCCCGGGGCGCTCTAGAGCGGCTCTGGAGTGCTCAAAATGCGTCACTGGACTCACTGGCAAGCGACTCTGATATCGGATTTAAAAAAAAAATAAAATAAATAGAAAATCAACAACAAAATTTGAAAAGAAGTGTATTATTTTAAAATGTATTTACACGCTGGCAACGCAGCGGGTCATTAGCTAGTTCTTAATAACTTTGAAATCCCAAGACATGTTTTAACTGCTAATTGCATAACAATTCAAATACACGGTTTTTCCGCTGCCTTTGAAGCAGCTTACGGCGCTTCAGTATTTATAAGATATACTGATAGCTTTGGAAATTGCGTTTCCAATCTTTTTTGTCCAAAAACAAGAATTTCTCCTATTAAGACTATCACAATACCAATACTAGAATTATCTGGGTGCCTTTTACTTAGCGAACTGGATGAGAGAGTGGAAGGAGCAATAAATATCAACATTTCTAAAATCGTTTACTGGTGTGACTCAACCATTGCGAGTTCATGGATAAATACATCTGACGAGCTCAAAATTTTCGTGGCAAATCGTGTATCGCAAATTCAAATGCGTACTAATTCTAAGGACTGGAAATATATCAACACATTAGATAACCCATCAGACCTTTTATCAAGAGGTAGTTATAGATCCCAACACTTAACACTTTGATAAATTCAAACAAATGGTTCCATGGACCCCATTGGTTAGTTTTGCCAGAGGCTGAATGGCCCGAATATCCACCCCAAATTAAAAAATCAACTTTGCCAGAGTTGCACACCATTTCTGTGACCTGTTTTATCAATTTAACTAAAGATTTCTCTGGATATATTTCTAGTATTTCAGATTTTAGTTGTTTGTAGTGCAATCTTGCCTACGTACTACGTTTTATAGAAAATTGCAGAAATGCAAAGCATTTGTAA